ATGCTGTGGGGGCAAAGCAATTAAAACACCTGTGTAATCAAATGATCCAAAAAAAAAAATTGAAAAAAGAAAAAGGGTGGATTTCAATAAAACCAGAGACATATAACTATTGATTAGGACATACAACATTTACAAGATTTCTTGAAAAAAATTGAATTTCAGAGCTATAGGCTTACTAGAACATTACTGCTCCTTCACTCTCTTGATGAAGCAGAATGTCCACCACCTCCCTCATTGTTGGCCTGGCATCTATGTCCTCCTCTGCACACTTCAGAGCAACTTTAACCAAAATTTCCATCCGCTCCATATCAAATTCACCATCCAGGGCAGGGTCAACAATTCCCATAACAGATGTAGGTGATCCTCTTCCATTAGCTTCCTGCATTTTCCCCTTCACCCAACTCACAAGCCTTCTCGGCTCAACCGCGCTGCTGTCATCATTAGAATTTCCACCTGTAGGTTTCCTTCCAGTTATTAGTTCCAACACAACAATTCCGTAGCTATAGACATCAACCTTAGAAGTGATTGGAAGGTTGAAAGCCCATTCGGGTGCCATGTAACCTCTAGTTCCCCTAATCTTGGAAAATTGTAGATTGTCGATACCACTTCTGTTCAGCAGTTTAGAGAGCCCAAAGTCTGCTACCTTTGGCTGATAACCAGAGTTCAAAAGTATGTTTTCTGGCTTCACATCACAATGCAAAACCCACTCAAGGCACTCTTCGTGCAGGTAAGCAAGTCCCCTGGCTGTACCTAGAGCAATTTCATATCTCTTCTTCCAATCAAGTTTATCAGAATACAAACTGTTTGCTAGAGTCCCGTGTTCCATGTATTCGTACACCAAAAGCCTGTGCTTCCCCTCGGCACAATAGCCCCATATTTCTATCAAATTCATATGGTTGAGCCTCCCAATGGTGCTTATCTCTGCAAGAAATTCAGCTTCTCCTTGGATTGCTTCCTTTAGATACTTGATTGCAGCAACTCGATTATCCGACAACATGCCTTTGTATACAACACCACCCCCTCCTTGTCCTATTTCTTCGCTGAAGTTCCTTGTTGCCTTCTTCAGCTCGGCATAACTGAATTTCCTAAATCCCGTTGCAACCTGAAGGTAGCCCTGTATCTTTGCACTAGACCGTCTTTGGGTTTTGAAGAAGTAAGTGAATAAACAGATTATCTCGAAAGCTCCAATAGCCAGAGTACACCACAGAAAAGACTTCACCCAATCTTGGTTTTTTCTTTCATAAGTCCTGTCCAATGGCGTAATCTGGGCACTGCATTGCAAATTTAGATCTCGGCTAGGCTTAATCGTATTCAGATTTATTGTGGGTACTCTTATGTACATGGGATCTGGAAAATCACCCGAACGATATCCATTGAATAAAATAGTCTTGGGCTTACAACTATAGTAACCATTTACTAAGTCAAACGTATATTGAAATCCTTTGCATTCACAATAACTCAAGCATAAGTTTTTACAACTCTCGAAGGTGTAATTAGTGAACGAGCCAAGATCGTAGCCATTATATTGGACATTGAGCAATTGGACAAAACCTGATGAAACAGTGTCAGTGCACGAGAGCTTGAAATCCGGCTCACACCCATTAGACCAATCCGTCAAATTGTTCATCTTATATCCAGGTAGACAAGTGCATTTCCTCTCACTGTCAGGAGCAGAGCTACATATGCTGTTGGCGCCACAAATGCCAGGAATACTGCATGGTTCAGAGCTTTGTTGCCATGTAACCTGCCAGCTCTGAGTGGCCTTATCTAGACTATAGACCCGAAGGTTGCCATCAACATCCATTACCAATCTTCTCTGAAGTCTAACACCACAATCAGAAGTATTAAACTGAAGTGTATCAGATGACAAGAAGTAGCCTGATGAGTTTAACATGGCAACTTTACTACTGTTGTAGGTGGACCTGCCTGCGGTCCAGATAACAAGCGTTGGATCAGGCCAGAAAACATTAGTTATTTCAGGACCCTCGTACCGGAGATGCAGGACATTATCGCTACCGAAATATAACTTGTAAAAACCAGAGGAATAATTAGTTTTGCTTCTGGAGGAAACAAGAATTGAGTTTCTGGTAAACAGTTGCTCGGGAAGGAGAGTATCTGTAGGGGAATCAAAACTTTGCCAAAGATTTTGGCCATCAGAAGTGCTCAGAATAAGGTTACCATTATCATGAAGTTCCAATTGAACAGAAGAGCTTGATTCTGTAGCACTTGACCAAACAAGAAGCTGTCCCGCATCAGTCAACTCAAGATTGCCTGAATTTTGTAGAATCAGCTTGGTGTGTTGTCCGTTAACCAGCTGATCTCGATTGGCCATCCAAACTATTGTGTGATTATCATCATATCGCTCAGCGAACCATATAGAAAAGCAGTAAGAATTTTCACCGACGCTGAAAAATCCAGCGGCGAAAATGGCATCTGGGGTCGAAACAAGAAAATCTCGAGTCGAAAGCGATGAGCCCTTTGTTAAACTTGTATAGGTTCTCGAGAAAGATGGAAGTGGCAACGACAGGAGTAATGAAGAAAGGAGAAATCGAAGCAGGGTAGCCATGGCATGAGCAACAACTGCGACTGCTCCAATTAATGATCCACCTGAATCAGGTTTGAATAAATCTATATGTAGTCATTCTCTGACTTCGTATAAGTTCATAATTAAAAAATAATTGAAACTGCCGTTGACTACAGGATTCTTCAGCAGCCTCATGACGTTGTGGAAATAAAATGATTTGTTTTTTTCCCTTCCGGGGGAGCATGTAGTGAGAGTTACGATTATAAAGTGTTTGACCAAAGAGGATGGTTAAATAATTTTTGTCAGGTGATAACTCATCTTTCACTACCTCTGTCAGAACAGAAGAAATAATTTAAGGTTAAACTAAAAATTACCAAGGGGTTCTTTTTTTTTTTTTTTAAAAAGGTACAAATATATATATATTTTTAGTATTTAGTGATTTTATAGATATGCAAGAGAAAAGGTCACAATTAGCAGCTGCTACTCCAATATAAAACTGCCAAACTGTTAATTGACGTGGTCTTAAAAGCAATACGGACCAACGGACACAGCTTTGACTTTCAGAATTGATCAATTAGATAAATGAGAAAAGTCAGTCTGGACTGTTAATTTCCTTCCAGAAATTGTCCAAAGCTTTAAAATTTGGACCAATTCAGGAATTTCTCGTTTTAGTTTCCAGCATCTTCCTCGACTGAAAGTCTTACAGGATGCCCACGATTTTCCATATCTAATGATGCACTCTAGAAGAAGTATAATTTTGTACTCACATAAAAACGATCTTTTTTTTTTAAAAAAAAAAAAAAAAAAAAGGAAGCTCCACTTCTCAATTCTGATTTTCAGATTTTACCCCAATTCTAGTCACAACCGATACATGCTAATAAATCTTCTTTACAATTCACAGCAATTGTTGAAAATTATCCGCTCCGAGGAATTCTTACCTGTGTCATAATTTGTAAGGAATTCATATATCTATATATATACACACACATCTTTAAAGTAAGGCTAAAAGATAACCATCCAAAACAATACTTACAAGTCTTCTTTTATATATATTCCAGCATATTCTAACAGCGTTATGAAGTAGTTTCTGAGTCAAATAATTTCAGCCATATATTTCTCATTTCTTTTTTATTTGTGAAGTAGCTGTCTTTTCCCTGAATTGGACCACAAGTTTTTGCTGATATGATCGAACAGCGTTATGTTTCTTGAGGCCCACCTGCAGATTGAATGGGCCTCCATTGAGGCCACCCACAATTGAATTTAGTACTGCCAGTTTCTAGGCCTCCAGAACTTGGATACAATTTAGTACAATTAAGGCCCTTCACTGCACTATCCTCAGAAGGGCCCCTAATTTCTGTGCCTACAAGTAATGGGTGGTCATCCGATCCGAGTGCTTTATGCCTTAATTATCGCTTGTTCTTCATCCTAAGAAAGTCAGCATAGAACTTGGAAGGACTCAAAGGATGCCCCAGTCAATAAGTTAGAATTCGATCAAGAATATCAAATCCTGACTGACTGACCTTGGTTTAGTTTCTCAGTTTCCACACGGCTTGAATAACATGTAATATCTCAAATTAGTCTAAATCATATATATAAAGAGAACTCAGTTCATTCAAAGTCTCTATACGCCTTTAGTGGGAGGCCAAGAAATAAAAGTACATCTATATATTTTCGTGTAAGGAACTTTCAAATAGTTTTTCAAAACTATGCATAAAGATGCCTTGATCCTGAACTGAACACAATATAGGTGACACGAAATTCTTTTTCTCTGCTATTATATGAGTATATTGACTTGAGTAGCAAGCAATTCTTAAAGCAAAAAGCTATTGACTCTCGAGCAGTTGAGATCTTAGAGATTATGTAAGGGAGGTTTAACTTCATTCTTAAAAACATAACCAATCACTATGCATAATATATGCATCAAAGTCAAATCCGTATGTGTATTGCTTCTACCAAAATGACATATTACTATCACATTTAGGCATCTCTTTAGATCTCTGCATGCAATGCATTATTAATTTCTGCCCCACAACGACCTAGTCAGTGACTACCGCGTTTGGAGATCATTGTTCCTCTTCACATTTGATTTGACTAACAACATTGGAACCATTAGAAAATTAAGGCATTAGCAAAAATCAAATTTTTTTAGAGAAAAAGAAAGTTTGAATACTTTTGATTCTATTTATCAACGCAGAGATTGGGACAAGGCGTGTATGTTAGAACTAAAGGGTTTCTTTTAAGAGCGAAATCTTCTTTGTAAAAAGTGATCCATCCTTTCTTACCATTTAGTAAATCAACATATGTTGGCGTGGAAATCGTCGGATGTGTACGCGGCAATTCTTAGCAACTCAACGATTACTAACCTGTAATCAAAGTTTGCGAGCGAAGAAGTTATAGTCCGTCACTATTTAATATCATCAGGCCTGCTTATTATATTCTTGCTTCCAAAGTGGTCCAACTAGCTCTGAATTCCATACGGACAGCATAAGGTTTGTCTGGATTGGGTGCTGCATCATCTATCAATAAAGGGATGTTTGCCTTTCTTTGGCTAATGCTTCTAGCCTACGCCTGGTTGGTGAGCCCTGTGAATTCCAACAATGTATACTCTCCTCCTCCTTCACAAGTCCAGAGCATATTCCTGCTGGCCGGGCAAAGCAACATGTCCGGCAGAGGCGGCGTAATCAATCGCACCTGGGATGGTGTCATCCCATTTCAGTCCCAATCAAAAACACCAAGCATTCTCCGGCTGAGTGCCGTCCAGACTTGGGTGCAAGCTCAGGACCCCTTGCACAAGGATATAGATGTGAACAACACTTGTGGGGTTGGGCCGGGGATGGCGTTTGCAAATTCTGTTATGAGTAAGGACTCGAGTATTGGGGCCATTGGTTTGGTCCCTTGTGCCATTGGAGGTACAAAGATCAGTGAGTGGGGCCGTGGCAGAGAGCTGTACAACCGGCTGATTAGGAGGGCGGAGGCCGCCTTGCAAGGTGGCGGGATTATCAGAGCACTTCTGTGGTATCAAGGAGAAAGCGACACAATTGAGCATGAAGATGCCAAATTATACAAGATCAGGTTGGAGAGATTGTTCACCCATCTGCGTGCTGATCTACAGTTGCCTGCACTTCCTGTGATCCAGGTAAGAAGAATTAACTTAGGAATGGGGAACTGTCGTGATCAGTGCCAGCCATTGCTGATAATATCATAATTCATTGTTTATTACACCCCAAAAAAAAAAAACCACCAGCGTCTTCGAGATGAAAACAAAGGTCCTATGCACCAAAGACTTTGATGTTTATTAATTGACCACTCTACATTATTCACAAGCTAAATTCCAAGGAGAAAACACATTTGTACATATCACATGAATGAAGTAAACTAAGGTCCATTATTAACGTATAGTGTATAGTTTAAAAACTCAAAAAAGGTGTTCCTACATTAATAACGTATAGTGTATAGTTTAATAACTCAAAAAAGGTGTTCCTACATTAATAAGACAGACACCTCGTGGCTGGCCGGCCGGTCGGCGAAACATATCCAAAATTTATTTGGTTGGTTGTTCTGCATGTGCATTTTATCTACTCCATCATCATAGAATTTGTCTTCTTTTGCGTCGTTGGATTCAGTGGCCATTAATGCATTGGGGTTGAGTTTGTTCGGTGGTTTGTGGGATGTAGGTGGCATTGGCATCAGGACAAGGACCATACGTGGATGTTGTGAGGAAAGCTCAGTTCGAGGTTGACCTCCCAAATGTGAAAACGGTGGATGCCTATGGGCTACCCATGGAGCCGGATTCCTTGCACCTCAGCACTTCAGCACAGGTCCGGCTTGGGGAGATGTTGGCCGATACCTTTCTTCAGTCTGTGCCTCTGCTGCCCGTTCACGTTCAGAGTAGTGCCTGCAAAACATGTCAAAATTTTGTTTTGGACACTTTTCTTAGGCCATTTAGGTAAAGTCTTTGAATCATGGGTAAAATGCATAATATATCCAGCCTCATTGATCACACTTCATGAATCTATAGCAAAATGCATGTATTTAATTCAATGAATCCAGCATGGTATTTAATTTCTTCTTCTTTTTTTAAACTTGTAAGAACCCAAAAATTAATATCTTTATAACACCGACAGATATCTTATTTGAATTGTTACTTTAAATTCTGTTGGGCGTTCGAAAGTTGAAATGAAAAGCCTCATCGGCTCTTCCAATTTTAGTTAGGTAAGGAATTCCATGAAGGCCATGACCAAGAAAGGAACAGAATGATCTTTTCTAAGCATGAAATTCGTCGTAAGCGTAAGCAAGAAGGCCGGTCAAGCCCACATTCTACCGGAGAACAGAATGTATCCTGCTTCCTTGCACAAGTCTAAATCCTGAGAGGTATAAGATGTACTAAGTAACCAGGAAACGAAAACCTTTCGCAAATTTTCAGACGGGTTTCATTGGTATTTCAACTTTGTAGAAGCAGATTTTCCCGTTTTAGACTTCATTTCAGTATCTTGTTTATTTGTATAACAAATTAAAAGCCAAAAGTAGATTTTTCTTTTTAGGCTTTTCCAAAATCAAATGCAAGCAGAATTTGTTGGATGTATCATATATATTGGAGATTAGTAAAAGCTGCTTTTATAGATATTTTTTTTCATACCAAAAAATAACTGTTTACTGTGCATGCCTGCTCTAACAATATGTCTCCGAGCAGTATCAAAAAAATAGTTTTGATATTTTTGTTTGGAATTTCATGGTTGATAATGATCATGACGAATGCTCCTGTACAAAGAAACCAAGCTGATGCGACTGCCAAAAACCGTATCCGAGCTGAGTTAAGACGGCCGGGCTGTTCAGGTGCTGCCGACCTGCAAGGGCGAGTCGAGCTGGGGGTCCTGAAAAGAGAAAACCGGAGGCGGGACGAAAGTCCCTGGAATAGCTCCGACGATCAAGTCAGTTTGGCCGGAGAGTATAGTAGTAGTAGAGAATACTTGTGTCAGCGTACCTTGTGTAGTCTTGGTAGCGTAGTATATATAGGACCGGATGAGTTGTAGTTTCCTTATGGGAGTCAAAGTCCCCTTAGGGTTCGGAGTCTTCCTAGGATTTTATGCGGCGGCCCCTACATGTTCGGAGGCGGCGGCCCATCAAGCCCATCATAGGAGGCCCTTGACACGGCCGAGCTGGCCCCCTTATGCCGAGCTGGCCCGTGCAGGATTTGATATCCCCTGCGCCGACCTGATGCGTGCAATGTGCCGAGCTAACACGTGTCATGCGTGGATTATCCCCACTACACTAGCCCCCCTTGAGTCTAGAGTCACTGATAGGTCATGTGAGTCTGGACCAAATTTCGAAGCGTCAGGTCAGCCTGCAGTAGGGCCCACAATCCCACGACAGCGCGCCTTGTCCGAGTAACTGCCACGTTTGCTGTCATAACCGTCACTTCAAGAGTCACGTCCCCCATGATGGCGGTTGTCAGCTCAAGCGTTTCTCCAGGTCAACCGTCTTTTAGCAATAAATTCAAATTTCCAACTCGGGACCTTTCGGCTTCCCGCCCAGGGGGCTTATAAATAGGCCCTACAAGACGTCACTTTCACACCTCCCTTCTCATTTCTCTTCTTTCACAAATCCCATCAGCTCGCCTCCTGCCTAGAGAACTCCAGAGTAGCGCTTCCCCCTAAGCACACAACAGCTCCTCATCCACTAGTAAGTCTTATTTTCCCTTTTATGTCTTCTTCGTCCACGCACTCAGATATCACTAGCTCGGTACCTAGGCGTAGAGTAGCCCGACCTGCACCTATAGAGATAATCTCCTCCTCCTCTAGCTCTTCTTCTTCCAGCTCGTCGGAATACCTACCTTCCCCCATACACTCTCCCACTTTAGAGATGGACCAACCCAACCAGCCTGCCCGACCTGACGCTGGGGCTGCCGACCTAGGGATTCCCCTAGAGGTAACTCCAGCTCGGACTAGGGCGGGACCTTCCAGGGGGCCGGATATCGACTTCGGGGAAGTCGAGCTTATCCCCCCTATCCTAGACCAGGGAAGTGTGGACGAGCTGGTGGGGAGGTATGATATCCCCCTCCAGTTCGAGGCTAAGGCTGCCCGACCAGGGGAGTATGCTTGCCGACCTCCTTCTGAGTTTGTGGCCATCTACAGGGATCAGCTCATAGCTGGTCTCCGTCTTCCCATTCCCCAATTCCTTTACCAAATTCTAACCTTTTGGGGAATTCGAATAACCCAGCTCGTTCCAAACGCCATCAGATCGATCTTCGGCTTCTTTATGATGTGCCGAGTCCTCGAAATTCCCTATTCCCTAGACCTTTTCAGGTCATTCTTCCAAATGAAGGTGAGCGGGCCAGTTCATGGCTGGTTTTATTTTGCTCGCAGGAGCGGGGGAGAACTCCCCACCCGCGAACTGTTCACGCACACCCCTTCTTCCATTAAGGGCTGGAAAGCTCAGTTCTTCTATGTGAAGAACACGGGCTTTCCTCCCTTGACCTGGAGGGAGGAGACCCAGGTGTCCGACCCCATTCCTTCACCTCTTCCTGCGGCCGAGCTGGACCTCCTGGTTAGCTCGGATGCTCGATTATCGGTGAAGGAATTTAGCAACGCCCAGCTCCGGTCGGCGGGGCTGATTCGAGCAGAGGTGAACGACCCTGCGCCTGACCTCCGACCTCTCACACCCGAGGAGCTTACAGCTTGTAATCCCTTTGATCTTCTTTTCCTTGCTTTCCTTTCTTTTCCTTTGCCGCACGAACTGACCCCTTTCTTTGCTCTCAGTGAAGAGGTTCTCCCAGCTTCTGAACATAGGAGGGACAGGCAGCTCGCGCGCGGCTACCTCGGTACCCTCCTCAGCTCCTGGTAACGTGGTTCCTCCCCCACCAGAGCCTATTCCCGCAGCTCAGTCTACCCCCTTGGAGGAACCCAAAAAGAAGAGGAGGAAGACCACCGCCAAGAAAGCCAGGACCGAGGTGACCACCTCGGCTACACCTACGCCCCAACCATCTCCTACTGGCGCTTCCACGGAGCACTATGGGGTCAACACTGCCGAGCTGCAGGCCTCATCTGAGTCGCCCCCTTCGATGTGGCGGACGAGGAACATCATTCCTCTCAAGCCCCCCACCGAGCTGAGCACACACCCCCACCCCCTCCATTTCTGCCCGAAGTGGGGGTTGTCGATGAATGACCGAGCTCAGTTTCCAGAGGCTGCTCGAGAGCTCGTCAAAGGTTCGGTGCTCCCACGCGACCATCACTTTATCCAGCTCGCATCCAACTCCGAGTTGCTGTCGCACTACTACCTGAGCGCAGCCCAGGTAGCTTCTTCACTTGGTACTTTATTAGTATCTTTAATCCGTAGACTTCTCACAGTTGGACCTGCAGCTCAACGTCGCCGGTGCCGAGCTGGCTCAGCGATATGAAAACATGGGAGAGAATCTCTCCCAGGCTGATGCAGCCAAGAACAGGCTGTCCAGTCAGCTTGAGGCGGCCGAGGCAAAGCTGGAGGCTACGAAGAAGCAGCTCGCTGACTCCCAGGCTGCCTGCGAGCTGGAAAAGAAAAAGACCGCCGAACTAACTACCCAGCTCGAGGCTGAGCAGAAGAAAGCAGCCGAACTGACTGAGACGGCGAGAGCGGAATGGCGCCAGCTAGGCGTTCAGGACTTCAAAAAGTCCGATGTCTTCATGAATGATCTGGCCATCTTGAATGGCCCCGTCTTGCAGCTCGGCTACACCAAGGCCATGGTGGATGTTCAGTCCTTGAACTTACCGGGCTTTGACCTGAGCAAATGGCCTGACTACAATCCTCAGGCCGCCGATCAGATTGACAGACTTGTCACGGGCTATTCCAACGGGCGCGACCTGGCCGCCTTGGTCGCCGACCCTGCTCTGCCCGCGACCTCCCCCGAGCCGGAGCAAGAACAACAAGGGGAGAACTAGAGAGGTAGTGCCTTAGGCAGGTCTGTTAGGCTAGGCTTAGATTCGAGCTCGGCCAGCTCGCTTTTGTATGGCCCCCCTTATGTATGTCCTTTTGAAATGGAATGAACAGCCTCTTTTCTTACCCAACACTTGTAAAAATTTTCTTTTATTCCATGTTTTCGAGTACATTTATAATTCTTAGTACTGAACTAATGAAGAATAAGTCTGTCCAGCCGACTACCTCAGCTTCAGGCAAACTACTAAAGAAAAAACTTCTAGATTGAGGGACGCCCGTCCAGGCCGAGCTAACTAATAAAGGGGACTAGTAAAGTGAGCTAGATAAGCAAAGAGCAGACCTGTCCAGCTGGTCACCTCAGCTCGGGCAGGGTACTAAAGGAAAAGTCTCAGGTTTGAGTTGTGCCAGATACGCGGGACTTCGCTTCCATCCAGGCGAGCCAGCTTGGAATAACCTGCCCGGCCGACCTCTTTCACCACGTAGGGACCTTCCCAATTTGGGTCTAGTTTTCCCGTGCCCACAGCTCGGCTGACGGAGTTCTTGCGTAACACCAAGTCTCCTGGCTTGAAAGAAAGGTGTCTTACCCTAGCATTGTAGTAGCGTGCGACCTGGCCCTTGTACTTAGCCATCCGTATAGCCGCCTCTTCCCTTCGGTGTTCGATCAGGTCCAAGTTAAGCCGCATCTCCTCCTCATTATCTTGAGCCACAAAGTGTTGCACCCTACCTGAGGGTATTCCGACCTCTGCGGGTATTACCGCCTCGACCCCATACGTCAAGACGAATGGAGTCTCCTGGGTGGCTGTTCGAGGTGTTGTCCGGTAAGCCCATAGTATGGTAGGTAGCTCCTCTAGCCAACTAGTTCGGGCGGACTCTAACCTCGTCCTTAGGCCATGCAGGATGGTTCTGTTGACATTTTCGACCTGCCCATTGGCCTGGGGATGCCCTACTGAGGAGAAGTGCTGCTGGATGCCGAGCTCCGTGCACCACTCTTGAAGAGATTGGTCAGCGAACTGTCTGCCATTGTCCGAGACAAGAACCTTCGGTATGCCAAATCGGCAGACTATGCTCTTCCAAAGGAACTTCTGGATCGATCTGCTGTTGATCGTGTTGAGGGGTTCGGCCTCTACCCACTTGGTGAAGTAATCAATGGCTATTACCAAGTGCTCACAGCCCCCGAGGGCTCGGGGAAACGGTCCTAACAGGTCAATACCCCATTGGAAGAATGGCCACGGGCTGCTGAGAGGAATCATTTCCTGAGTGGGGGTGTGATGTACGGGGGCGTGCAGCTGGCAAGACCTACACCTGGATACCAGCTCAGCTGAATCCCTAAAGATGGTTGGCCAATAGTATCCAGCCAACATTCCCTTTTTGGCTAATACTCTCAGACCGACGTGGTTGCCGCAGATGCCTTCATGCAGCTCGCGTAAGACGTAGTTGCCCTCCTCAGGCGTTATGCACCTCAACCAGGGCTGCAAGTAAGATTTCCTGTACAAAATTCCATGTGTGAGTGCGTACTTCTGTGACTTGATGAGGATTTTGCGAGCCTCCGTCCTGCTTGGTGGAAGCTCCCCACGAACCAGATACTGAATGATAGG